CATTCTGGGTTTACTCTGTGCTAAGCACTGCAGATATTCCACCCTGAGCAACCTGGTCTGCCTTTGGAAATGAGGCTGACTTACAGCATAGCATTTGGACCAGGTGACTCCAGAGGTTCCTTCCAACATAAAGTACTCTACATGCTCTTCTTTCCAACACTCTAGCTTTGGGACCAGCCTACTGGAGGCCAGTTTGCACTTTGTGCATATATAATCTAGACTTATCCTAAAGAACATTTAAAACTGATGCTCACATTGCTCTGAGCCTTCACAATGGGAACATGGGGTTCTCTGGGTTAGTAACAACCACAACTCATAATCTCATGGTGTCTCTTCCTTGCCCTGAGTGGAATGAATTGGAAATGTCCCACTGTTTCTTAGCAGACAGGAGGGGTTTAGACTCCTACCCTGTGACTTTTCACACACTTTCAATTAAATGAACAGGGAGACTGAACTACCTCATCTTTCCTGGAGCTGACAATTTCAAAGCAGAGTTCTGAGTCACAGTGATAGGAGTGGTGCAAAGGAGCCTTCCTCTCTCCCCACACTGACTCATCAGGGCTTTCATTTTCCACTCCAGTCAGGAAGCAAACACACTCTATGACAATTAAATGTATCCTAACAAGAAGACTGTGAAAGCTTAATTAAGCTCTGAGCTGTGCCTGAGCAGTGAACTTACATTATGTGAACTCTGACATGGATGCATGTCAGTCTGTAACTGAAATCAGCTTCCATTTATTTCTTGGTATTGGTGATGACTCCTAGAAGGAAAGAAAGTCCTGAAATTTTCCTCAAGAATTTTTAATGCTAGCTTGTACTGCTTAGCTGCATTTTGTTATGTGACAGGCTCAATCACATTATAGCTGAGCTTTTTATTTTGAAGTAACATTCAGGTTAGTATGTTGCATTCCTGTAGTCATTCTAATTGCTGAAAAGAGGTGTTGGTTTGCTAGGGTGAACTGAGCCACTTAAAATGGATTTTTACCATAGTTATATTTTACCATAAATTAGTACTTTCATTGTCAACAATAAAAGTTGAGGATCATGGTTTGTGACTGATACCTTCCATGACTTGGAAGTAACTTTACCTTTCAGTATCGTTGTTTTTCAAGACTCAAAAGGAAGGAATGATGCTTATCTTTCCAAGTAGTTTTATTGTTTTGTAAACCCAAAAAAGAAAAAAAATTAAATTAAAAAAAAAGCCCACTCCAAACTTTTATACCAGAGCTCGTTGTTAACTAGTAGCACTTCAAAAATTTCTGCTAAGAATAATTTGTTCCAAGACAAGCTGAAATACACAAGTGTGACTTTATACACAAAATTAGTAAAGAAACACTTTCATCAGTAAAGAAAAAGGAATTACATTTGAGTTACAATTTGATTAAAAATGTTCTCTTAACATGGGGCTGTCTTCACAGTCACTTTCTTTTAAATGTTATTCCAATACTAAGCATTGCTCAGATATTTAACATTTGTGGAAAATCTAATATCTCAAGATCTATGACATCCCTGCAACAACAGGTGTATGAAAACCCTGCCTTTAATTTGTGTAAAGTAGAACCTTTGGAACAATCACCACCAGGAGCAATATCTGGGCTCTGTGAAACACTTACAAGCAACATATTTAGGAGATTAATAAACTCCTCCTTTTGAGATTTGGCCTGCCTTGAAGTGAAATCTAATAAACTAAAATAATGTCTTGGACACTTCCAGGTGTTAACAAATATCTAGAGTTAAGAATAGATCTGAGTGAGCTCTAAGGGTTGGTTTATCTTTCTTGTCCACTCCAGGATGCCAAAACTGCCATATCAGGCTTTTAGTGCATAGAGAGAAACTTGCTCATCCTTCTTTAAAGCAATAATATTTTATATTTGTAGCATTACCTTAGTGAAACTTTAAAATGAAATGACATAGAATACAAATAACACTGAATTTCTTTAATATCCCAAATTATGAATAGAAGCATGTCTAGACTCAAATACAAACCACCTTTTATAGCAAAATTCAAATCCTCCTCTGTTCCCTGCCAAACGCTGAGTTCAGTCCCTGAGGGCCTGAGAAGGGTTTCCTTGGCTACAGCAGCTGGCATTGGCAGGGCAGGGAGTGCTGCTCCTGGCCGTGGTGTGCTGGCTGATTTCATCAGCTAACACAGGTCTTGACAGGTGTAAAGGCTTTCACTTCACTTTGAGCACATAAAACCTTTGCTGCATGGTTTGGGAGATTGGGAACTAACTTTTTGATCCAGGAAGGGCTGGGATCAGGGATCCTGGTTGTAATCCTCTAGATCTCTCAGTAATCTTTGAATGTATTTCTTCTAAACATAGAAATAACATTTGTTCTGAAATGAGTTCTTGGTGCGTGCTGAATTTGCCAGACATTTCACTTTGAGTCAAAGATATGGCAAATGTGCTTCCTAGCATTTTCATCTTGATTTATTCTTCCTCACAAAGGACAACTTCATAAAGAGTTTGAATCAGATCCATGTTCACACTTTACATATGCAACATTTTTATGGCTGAAAAGCTGGCTTCTCAGGCAAACTAATTTGGAAACAGTCAAACTAGAGAAGGACATGCTGAGACCCCTTTACTTCAAAGGCTATTTTTTCCAACTAATCATCATTATTACAAGTAGATATTTACCCTTAGGTGCATTGGGCAGATCATTCTGACTCATCCATTTAATGGACGTTGTCCTCTTGGCCTAATGATAATAATTTTTGTATGAAAGCTTTGCTAATTTCTATAAATACATATGATAGCCATTTTGGTACTTACCAGGTGACATCGATGCTGACATAACCTTTCTAGTATTGTTGGTTGTAGCTTGTGTCATGACACTGGTGTGAATTATGGCTGTCTTGAGGATGCAAAACTTCATAAAACACAGATGGTCTGTAGGAAAAATATTGTAATGACAGTCTGCACTTCACACATTCAGTCTTCCCTTGCAGACTCTTTCCTTTATTATTGCTTCATAGTCTTAGGTACCTTTTCATCAAGCATCTAAGACATAATTTTTTGTACAGACTATATTCTATAAAAAAGATTGTTACATGCAATTCTGGAAAATACCTCTGGTACCAACATTATCACAGCTTCTCATTGGCCTCCCCCAGACTTCCTTAGAAGTGTATCACCATTACTTCCAGACAGCTGATTTTTTTTTTTTACTACTTCTTTCAAAGAACGATGGAAACTGTGTAAGTTCATTAGCAGAGCATGTGTGTAGGCTTAAAATTACAGATAATAGACATATGGTCAGTAATTCCTTTATGTATTTGCCAAGACTTAGGTCAAGATTCAGGGTTTCCTTTGCTCAAACTGGTGAAATCAGAAATACCTCTGTGTTCTGGGGAGGGCTTACACTGCACATGCAAGACAGGTGATGAGGCACAGTTATCTCAGTTGCCTTCTGCAAGACCAAGCCATGTTTATTCTAAAATGCAGCCAATTGTGATATGCTTTTCTTTTTGCACTACTTTTGTATAAGTCAATCCTTTTTCTAACAGTTCTTGGTGTTTTTTATGCACTCTCATAATATGTTATTCATAACATTACAGTAAATTCGTTGTAATAATTTTTGATGTCACAACCCTGGCTTTTCACATCAGTGAGATTAACAGTTAATGTATTGGAAAATATTTGTGTGCTTAAAAGTAATCATCATAAAAAATAAATTACCTCCTTCCCACTCAAGAAGCACAGTCCTCGTATGTCACATCAGTATTTGTAAAACAATTTCATAAAAAGTGAAGTGTCATAAATGTGTGTAAGTAGTCAGATATTTTACAGAAAAATTCATCAAAAGGATGATTTTTGCCCAGGTTCACCAGCTGTTTCTTCATTATCATGGTTCTTCAGTTTTTGCTGGTAACAAAGCCACAAGCTTTAAATCCACGTCTTTGGGCTTAGATCTAGGAGAGGATGTGAGGATTGGTGCAGCTGTACATCTACATGGCATCAACCTGGGGATCTAGAAGCAACAGTGAGGGCAAAATCTACCCTTGCCTTTGTGTTTGCCCTGTTACAAATGTGAAAGACCAGCTCTGTCAGAGAAGTTGCACTGTCCTGACAAATGGGTCTTTCTCTGGCTGAGAGTGCCACTGATTGTTTGAGATGTTAGCATGGGCACATAGTCACCACTGCCCAGAGTGAGGCCACTGGCTGCTTGCATGTGGACTACCCTACAGCAGTGACAGCTCCCCCCTACACCAAACCTGGGCTGAGTACATTTTGCTCCTTCCAAATTATTTTTTATACATGTCTTGGAATATGTATTCAGATACTTTTCAGAATATTGTTTTAAAACCAAATGAAAAATATTTTCCTCCTTTAAATCTCTCAGCAACTTTGTAGGTGAAGATATTTCTTATGGTTCTTATTTTGTTGCCACAGTTATTCACACTGATTTTTAAAGAATTATGGTCTGTGTATACGAGCGTGTGTCACCCTTGCTAGTCCATGTTAGAGAAAGCAGCAGTAAATGTTACTGTATCTGGGGACTGCAATAATTTAGCCTTTTGCATTGACTTAATTTTACACATTTTTCAGGAAGCTGAAATTGAATGATGTTATACTTCATTTTTTACTCCAAAAATCTCTCAGCCAGGTTCCCTCTATCAGGAACAACATAAGTGTGTGACTATGATGACCAATGTGGAGCAATCCTAAACTAATACCTACTCAAGATTTCAAACCATAACAAGTCTAGATTAAGTTATTTTTTTAGAAAATTGCTTATGCATCTGGCAGTAGAATTTTGTCTTAATTAAGCAGTGTTAAAGATAAAGAAGTAATGGTTTTAGAGATAGACTGTGAAAGAGAGAATACATATTCATCTTATATAAGAATGTGTTTATTTACATTATTTTTATTTTCGTCGCAATTGACCAGCAATAGCCATTTTCTGTCATTATTTTGAAGTGTAAGACAAAATTCAATATAACTCTTTCCTTTTTTTTTTCTTTTTCTTTTTCTTTTTTGTCTTTTATTAACCAGTTAATTTAGGTGATGGGATAGAATACAGCCAGCAGAAGCGTGAAAATATTGGAGTTCTCATCCAAGAGACACTGCAACTTCTTGAATGCTACGGTGGAGAAAATGCTTATATAAACATTAAATACATGATCCCCACTTATACGTCATGCAAATAAACTGAGTTATAATAAATGGGATGATTCGATCTGTGCTCTAAAAAAACTGTATCTGACTCTGTATGTCATCTTGTTAGTCATGCTTTATCTTCTCTACAGCTGCTAAAATAGTGGCTTCAGGGGCATTGGAGTGTTAGCACTATTGTGAACAAGGCTTTCCAATGAATAAATAGTGTCTGTTCCTTTGATTACAATGGTGTACTGTGCTTGTTTGTTCCCTGAAAGAATCACTCCTTTATAACAGAGCTGACTCGAACAGGAATCTGAGTTAAACCTTCACTTGTGTGGACAATAAAACTATAATTTTCATACGCGATTCAGCAATCACTGTTCTGTGTCCGCTTGTCCTGAGGGTGATGTCAGAGGCTGTAACAAGAAGAGTTTATGCTGACTGCTTAATAGGTGTTTGTCATGGAAGAGAAACACCAGTTCAGCAATGCCTCTCTGGCAGCTGTGCCGAATAATGTGCACTGACATACAATAAAACTGTTGAATGTATACACCAATTGCAACAGGAAAATTTATATTTTCCATTATAAGACACTGTCATTAAATTAATCCAGGTTTCTTACACACTCCTGTTTTCAGCTTCCAGGTGTTTAATCATGGAACTTGGATTGCTTCTTGGTGAACATAAGGCACAAGTACAGTTTTGAAGAAAAGAAGCCCAGAAAAATACTTGAGTAAATCAGATGGAAGATACAGCATAAGTAAAGTATCAGCCCCAAGTGACACTGTTAATCTGGATAAACACAGAATGTACAACTACATTTTTAAAGGGCACTTGGTATTTTTGTAACTGCAAGGTTGCTATTGCTTTTCTGTTGTTATTATTATGGTGTGTATCTGTGCAAATAATGTAACTATTGTTATAGGAATCCCTTACAATTTCCTACTCAGTTAGTTTCTCCCTGTGTACCCATAACACAGAACTGATATAGTCATGAATTTAAGTAAAGCTATTGAGATTGACTTTATATCTTTTTAAGTATTTCAATTGAATAAACCTACAAAAAAAAAAAAAAAAAAAATAAAACCAGTCTTACAATTCTCAAAGACAACCATTTAAAATTATTGAGTCAGCTCAAAACAAACCAGAGATATTAACTTTGCCTAAAAGCGTGAGATTTTTTTAAGTACTTTGAAAGACTTTGGGCTCATCTGGCTTTTATTAAGTTTTCTGGAGCTCTTCAAAAGTATGCAAGTTGCACTTTCAAGTGTTTCAGTGTAACAGTTAAGAGCCTGAAATGCACTCTTTGGTGTTAAACACATGAGATTTTTTCAAGTGCTTATCCATATCCATATCCATATTCACACCTTGCAAGGCTTGCCCAAGTGAGAGACACAGCCCCTATGCTGCCCTGCTCTCTTGGATGCTTGCTGGAAGTGTGGGGAGCACCTTCCCACCTGCTGGAACCTTGAGCCATATCTGTCATTAGATTGACATTAGAACTCGCCTTTTCTGTGGCATCTTCAGCCTGAGGATTTTCTTTTACTTTCTTCTCTTTCCTGTAACTGGAAAAAAAAAAAAAAAAAAAAAAAAAAAAAAAAAAAGTTAAGAAGAGTATTACTCTTCCCACCTCTTTGAGGAGCTGCACCTTCAAGTGATGTCACCAGCCACGAGCACTCACCAGCCCCTGGTTTAGGCATGGCTGCTGGAGGTGTGCCTTTTTCCAGGCCCCAGAGGCATTTCTTTTCTGTTTGGGTTTTTTGGGGTTTTTTGGGGTTTTTTTTTTTGTTCTTCCTGAGTTTTGTTTTACACAGTTTTTCCAGAGCTACCCTCAAGTCCCTAGAGTTGAGACAAGGTCTGTCCTGTGTCCAACATACACCTGTGATGGGTAAGTACATCCAAGACTCAGCCTCATGTCTAGGGTATCAACAAATCTTTCACCTTCCAGGCAGAAAGGGAGGTGAAGTCTGGCTGTAGGCCCATGCCTCTGGAAACTCCAGAGCTTTGTTTTCAAACCTTGCAGCACAGAGGCTAGCTGGATAATGCAGGGGGCACAGGCCATGTCTCCTCTTCCACAAATGCCTTTCTACACAGCCACCCTGGCAGCATCCACACAGCCTTCGCTGACAGCTTCTCCCCATTTGTCTTGCATTGTCCCTGGCACCAATGAGCCATACTTTTTCATTGACTGACATCTATGGATTTGGTAACTGTGGCATTGCAGGTTTCCCATGAGTGCAAACTGTGCTGGAAAACTGCAGCTCAGAGGGAGCTGAGTTATTCAGCTCAGAAATAAACCAAGCCCTTCATAGAAGGAGAATTCCCAGGCCACCTTTCACTCCTCAGCTATTTGTATTCTTTCCTTAACAGAAAGTCCAGTACTGCTCTTTGCCTGAGATCAAAAAGCTCCTCAATAACTGGCTTCAGTTTCCCTGACCCTGGGCTCCAGCCACAGAGCCACATGCAGAGGAAAGGGCTCTCAGCCTTGGTTTTTCCCCATCCCATCACCCCTCTGCATTCCCAACATTTCTGCTGGGGTTTCAGGCTCCTCACCAGCCTTTGTAATTCTTTTCCCAGCCCCCTCTTTTTGCATCCCCTCCCCTTCAGCTCAACCAGGACAAGACTGCTGACTGACAAAGAGACACCATGGAAAATGGGTGAAAACTTTGTGAAACTGCAGACTTGCCTGGGCCTGATGCCCTCAGCCTTGTGCTCTTTCTTGAAGATTTCTTTCACAAGACATAGGTTCAACAAGGGGTGGTCTTTTGGCAAACCATAAGGGCAATAGAGGTCATGCATATTCACATCAGGAAAAATAAGTTTTATAGAAAAGTGTTTTTATTTGCATGCTCAAGATGAGAACATTGGCCTCCATCAATACTATTCCTATGTCTGGTCCATTGATTTAAAAGTACACATTCTCCCATAACCTTATTATTTCTAGGAGCTGGATGATAAAAAGAAGCATGATAAACCCCACAGGTTGGTAATTTAGAAACACTAAGAATAAAATGATTTTAAGATGTAATTTTACTAAGTCAAACTCTAGGCATTCCAACCTTGACAATGTCCCTTTAAGCATGATCAGCAGCATATTTATAGGCAATTACTGCACAGCTCAAAGCACTTTATAAAGCGCAAGACCGAGGACTCAGGTGCTTAAGCATACAAGTAATAGTATGCCATTCAAAATACTGCTTAGCTGTCTTACTATGCTGAAAAAAAATATGGTTAAGAAATAGTAAATATCTCTTGTTTGACCAGATGACATAATTGTGGTCGCTGATGTTCAGGGCAAGCCAATCAACAATTTTTAATTGTAATCAACTAAAAGGTACTCTGGGCTAGGTGTTTCCAGGAGTATAAATTAAGTGTCAAGGCATTGAGCCTAATTTGGCTTAACAGATGCAGTGTGCTTTATGCCCTACTCTGGGGTCTTTGCTGCCTTTTAACTCTCTGGCGCTGGTAAGGTAAGGAGCACCAGTGAACAAATGTGTGGGAAGTTAAGTTGTTAAGTGCTGTTTTTCTGAAGCTACCTGTTTGAAATATCTCCAGTTTATCTTAATAATTGTCCTAGGTTGGCTGGCAACTCTTTAGCTTGAAGAAGAAAAAAGCATGTGGTAACACTGGGGGGAGGGGGGGGGGGGGCGGGAATGGCTACCTTTGTCATGCATTGTCATGAAAATGAGCATAAAATAAAATATTTTTGATGATTCCTCCTCAAAGCTGTGTAAGGGACCTCTGTAACAGGTGTCAGAGTGTAGGGAACTCTGGCACTTTGTAAATGCTGGCAAATGCTGCAGAGCAGTCACTGTGCAAGCTATTGATCCACTGAACACTCTGATTTGCTCATGGGAAGGAGAGCAGGGGCAGGGGTGGCTGGGGCTGCCCCTGGGCTCCTGCAGAGGGACAGAGCCTGGCAGAGGATGGAGCGAGATGCTTCCAGCACTGGTGGCAGGGAGCCGAAGCCATGCTTCTTGCTGGTAGCTTTCCAGTGTTTCAAAGAGATGGAGCTGCCAAAAAAGTTTGAAAAGAGCCTCCCAGGAGTCAAATACAAAAGGGCTGTGGGAAGTTGTAAGTGGGAGGGAAGGTAGGGGGCCCTAGCTGCGAGGGTGTTTGCGCGCGGGGTGCAGGGAGGTGTAGCTGCAGCCAAGCAGGGCAAAAATAAGACGTTTGAGCAGACACTTTGTGCTTTCCTAATCCTGTCTGGAGACCCTCTGACTTCCAGAAGAGCATTCTCCAGTCTGAGGGGCTCTGCAGGCAGTGGGGCACATCACATTTTTCCACTCATCTGTAACATCCTGTGTTTTCTGCCTTAAATAAAAGCAGTGATGTTTGTGGGAACTCCATATAAAGCCTGTCTGCTTGCAACCTCTCAGAGCTGCTTTGTGCCTCCTGGAGACTGGGAAAGGAAGGTTTATGCCCTGGCAGGACAAGAAGTTCCCTGCACTGGCCCCATAATCCTTCCGGCATGTGAGGGGAGGGAAGGGGAGTGTGTGTGCTGGGGCATATCTTAGCTGCTCTTGTTCTTGCCTAGCAAATTCAGCCTGGGTATGGCTGTGGGCTCCTTGCTGAGAGCTCTCCCCTCCTTGGACAGTGCATGGTGGCTTCTGGTGAGGTGGATAAAAGCCTATTTGAGCAGAGACAGCAAACTGCAGCCTCAGAGAGGAAAAAGTATGTTTCTTGCAGAGTCGGGAGTCAGCTTTGTGCTTCAATCCCCATTTGTGATGCCACAAATCAACAAATACCTTATTTTTTCACTAATGTCACTCAGGAGGGAGTTGAGCAGCTCTTGCAAACCCCAGCGTACAACCCCCCGTGCTCTTGCTGTGTGTGCAGCAGGACAGGGTCACTGTGCTCAGGAGTGGTTGACATTGTTTCCCCTCTCTGGGCTTCCCCGTTAGCAGCAGAAGCACCTAATCTTGGACACCCTGCTATGTTACTTTCCAATCAGGAATGTGCCCTGAGTCCTATTCCTCAAGGGAGAAAGGAGAGATTTTTTGCTCCGATTTTTTTTTTTTTTTTTTTGTCCAACAGAGCCACTCACATAGAGCAAAAGTCTTAAGCTACAGAAGAATGGGCACCTTCAGGGAAGA